ATTAAAGGCATATTGAAAGTATCCTTAAATTTTTGAGTCCTTATTTGGAAAAATGAGGGGTGGCTACATTTTTCCCTCTGATTCCCATTAATAACACTTCTAATATTTTCAAAAGAATAATTTTTTTACAGTTTCAACTTTAAAAAAATGAATGCTGTATAATTGACTACATATTCAAAATTAGTGAAATTTAAGAAGAAATTATAATTATTTAGTCATTCCATTTTACCATAAGCAATGCAAAAATCAGGAGCCCTGGTGATGCAGTCGTTCAGGTGCTTGGCTGCTAACTGAAAGGTCAGCGGTTCGAAGCCACCAGCGTCTCTTATGGAGAAAGACGTGGCAGTCTGCTTCCATAAAGATTACAGCCTTGGAAACCCTATAGGGAGTTCTACTCTGTCCTATAGGGTTGCTATGAGTTGAAATCCACTGGACTGCAATAAATTTTTTTTTTTAATGCAAAATTAGACCACAACACAGGAATCAAATTTATGCTGAGATTAAAAATGGCTATCTCCTGAGTTCCAATGCAACTTTCTGCATGAATGTCAAACTAAACTTCACAATTCCAAAGCAGACATCATTTTCTTCTACAAACTTCTTTTCTTACCAAATTTCCTATCTTTATTGATCTTATGGACTCTAATGTTTAGAGCATTCTGAGCCTCAGAGTCGACTTTGAGTGCTCGTTTCCCATCATCCTCCACTTCTCATTGGCCACAAAGTTCTGTCGATTCTTCATTTAAAAGATATTTCAGATAATGTACTACATAAGATTTCATTGGGTAAAGTGTTTTGCTGTTTTTAAAAAAGTCTGTAAATAGTAGTTGAGTGGGAAAGGATATCTGGCTTTAGAGTTAGATCTCAATTCAAATCATAGCTCTGCTACTTACTTTGGATAAATTAACTTTTTAAAGCTTTAGTTTATTCTGTGAATGAAGATAATAATGCTGGCTTCGTAGGACTGTTGTGGAATAAGGCAATATGCAAATCAATGGCAATTAGTACATGTTCTATACATATATATATTTTTTTTTTTTTTCCTTAACTTCCCTTTCCTAAAGCTCAAAGACGGGTAAATACTCTGTTTTATATGTCCTCAAGTATCTCCTCAACAGTGACTTTCTTGACTACTTATTAATTAGTATTCTGCTTAAGCGTTTAACAAGATTCTTTGGCTGATCATTCTTCGATTTACCACCGCCTGTATAAGCTGCTGTTTATGTCTTACTGATTGCTGGGTTTCCTGCATTTCCCTCACTCAACAGAATATCAATAATAGGTATCGAAATATTGAAATAGCACTTTTGGGAAGTTTTATATTCCTGCTTAAGATTTTATTAATAATTTAAACAGAAGATTTTATTTTTAGTTTTGGCCTCATGTGAGCCTCTTCTCAAGCACACTTCACTATTCAAATGATTAAAAACTATAGAATAATTGTTGTTGTTAGGTGCCATAGAGTCGGTTCGGATTCAGAGTGACCCTGCGTACAACAGAAGGAAACACTGCGCGGTCCTGTGCCATCCTCATGATCATTGTTACGCTTGAGCCCATTGTTGCAGCCACTGTGTCAATAATAGAATAATTAGGCTGAATTAATGAGTTTTACCGTATAGTAGAATATTTGGAGTTGGTGTAGCTTTTTCCCTTTATTCATTTAATTATTCTTGCTGTGCTGCTTATATTATTAATTTGCTCAGCAAATCTTTTAGTTAATACAATAACATTTTATTGGCTAGGACATAATTGATTTTCCTAGATAGTATTTATTTTATTTGGATTCTATTCATTTAGACTGTGTTAATATGGACGGTGAGGCTTTGCTCAAATTTTAGGAAGAATATTTAAACTGCTTAGAATACTTTCTAAGTACCCTTATATAAAGTATTTATTACTTACAAACAATATATTTAAAAGAGGACCACCTAAGAACTTAGGTCATACTTGACTGGTCATTGTTTTCATCGTAAAATTTTAAATTTAGAGATTCAGAAAGATTGCTACAATTGTTAATTACATATTCTTAGCCAGCAATCCCATAACCTGTTTCTTCTTCAATAAAATCTAAAGAGGCAAAGAGGTTAAAGTCTTAGGATTAACAAAACCTGTGGCTCTTGCTTTTGAGGTGGTGGTGCTGGAGGAAAGCAAAAAGAAAAGGAAGCATTCAGGAAGATCTTTATTGTGTGGTCAGAAAATTGAGATTTGTTGATTACTCCAAAGTGTTAGTGGGAGACAGGCATTTCTTTGCTATTATACTCTTTTGTCCATAGCTTTAATGAACATCCAGAGTATTTTATTGGCTAAGATTCAGAAAATGAATATGCCACTTGGTATATTTGTGAATAAGTCAGTTAAAATATTTGTGTATTTGTTGTTCCATTTCTAAAATCAGTATAGAGATTGTCATTTCCTACTTTAAATGTTTAAAACAAGATATATCAGGGAGTTATTATTTGAAAATTTCAAAGCTAAACGCTGAAATAATTTGTTTGTAGAAATCTAGCATTTTAGAATGTATTTCCCAAATACATATACTTCTTAGTGCCTTAGTTTCTTATTCTGAAAACTTTATATTAGGATTATTATATTAACTGAAGGAGAAGATAAGCTATTTGTGGAATTTTCTGGTGAATACGTTTCTGCAATGACTCTCTATGGAATAAAAGAATGTTCAGGTATTAATTTATTTAAGAAATATTTTTAGGTGTAAATAGGACTTTCTGATTGGTCTGGCAATTGTTCATCTTTTAAAATGTAAACATCAGTGGTTTAAAAATCTTAATACAATAATCAGACCTTCAAAAGTGGTATTGAAACAACTTGAAATGGTATTATATAATAATGGTTAGAATCATCCATTGAATAAGAATCATCCAAATGAATAAGGAAGACCGAAGAAGAATTGATGTGTTTGAATTATGGTGTTGGCAAAGAATATTAAATATACCATGGACTGCCAAAAGAATTGAACAAATCTGTCTTGGAAGAAGTACAGCTGGAATGTTCTTTAGAAGCAACAATGGCGAGACTTTGCCTTTGGACCTGTGATCGGGAGGGACCAGTCCTTGGAGAAGGACATCATGCTTGGTAAGGTAGAGGGTTAGCAAAAAAGAAGAAGACCCTCAATGAGATGGATTGATAACAGTGGCTGCAACAATGGGCTCAAACATAGCAATGACTGAGGATGGTGCAGGACGAGGCAGTGTTTGGTTCCGTTGTACGTAGGGTCAGTGTGAGTTGGAACTGACTCGATGGCACCTAATAACAACAAGAATTACCTAAAGCAGGAGTCAGCAAACTTTTTCTGTAAAGGACCAGATGGTAGAAATTTTAGGTTTTGATGATGATACAGTCTCTGTCTCAAAGATTCAACTCTGTCATTGTAACACAAAAAACAGCTATAGACAATACATAAACAATGAGAGTGACTGTGTTCCAATAAAATTTTACCTAGAATATTTAGAAAAACAGATGGTGGACTGTAACTTGCCAGTGCCTGATATAGAGCAGTACTGTCCAGTAGAACTTTCTCAGAGTTATTTTTATATTCTTTACTAAATCAGTATTTCTTATATTTTCTCTGTTAATTTGATGCCCATTTTGAGTCAGAACTGAAAAATATGTCACAGAGAATAAAAATAATTTAGAAGCAAGTAATGATCATATCCTCCATGGCATCTCTTGGTTTTCAGCTGAGTGATAAATCTGCTGGACGACTAAGTCATGGGCATCACCTGTCATATACGCTCTCAGAGGGTCCCAGTCTGTTCTGTTTTACAGGGACTTTTTAAGGCTTATTTTATTCATTGATTAAAATAACAAAATTGTGACATGCTATTAGCATGTTTGATAACATAAACCCTAAGAGCACCTTCAATATTTTGGGGAATTGTTAGAGAAAATTCTGATCTAAATGATTCCCTTGGTTGAACAAAAAATTATTCCTGGAGAATTTTTAATTTTGTTGCTGTTCTCTATAATCATTTGACATATTAATTATTCTGATTTTCCACCTGCAGTATTTATTTTTCTCCTATTTTATACTTTCATTGATTGTAATATTCGTGTAACTCATCTGACAACTCATTTGAAAAATTAGACTAATGTGTTGTTACAGCTGAATTAACTTTAATGGGTTTTCATGGTTTTTCAACTTAAATATGACTATAATGTATGTATTTACTTCTAACTTTTTATTTGTAAAATATAACACATGCAGAAAAGTGCATAAAGCAGAGTTTTCCAGTTTAACAAGTTATTACAAAGCACACATCAGTGGAACTAACATGCAGGTCACTAAATTAGAGTATTGCCTGTACCCTAGAAGCCCATTATGTGCCCCTTCCCATCTGTAACTCCTTCCTTTACTCCTAGGGGTAATCATAATCCTGAGTTTCATAGTATTCATGTCCTTACTTTTCTTTATAGTTTTAGCACCTAAGTGTGCAGCTGTAAATAATATAGTTTAATTTTGCTGGTTTTTGAACTTTATATTATAAATGAAATCATACAATATGAATTCTTAAGTGTATGACTAATATTTTATTAATGTATTCATTTTAGCCATTCAGCAATGAAAACGGCCAAGGTAGACTGAAGTAATGGGATATTAAGCTATGTTCAAGTCTGGCTTTAGTAATGCTGCTTCCGTGGGTGACGTGTCCCAACATGTGTCTCTGCCTGCCCTGTAACCACATTTTCTGCCATGCAGGACACTGTTGCCTAAAGATAATCATGGTGGGTGGTTAAGGCTATAGTACTTGGCTTTGAAAAAGATTTCTCAACGTCTCTATAAGAGCTTATATTAACCTGTAAATTTTATGGTGATAGGATTGACTTACATTTTATAAAGATTTTAATAAATATTAATTTATAGATGCAGTAGATTAATACTTTTGCACACATGTGTATACATACATACTTGTGTTTCTGACTGCAAGAAATACTTTAGTTACCTAAACTATTTGGTTTTATAGAAATAATACTTTCTTTTTCAGGTGAAACTGCCACCGATGATGGAAATCATAACTGCTGAACAGCTGATGGAATATTTAGGTTAGTGTTGAAAAATGTATGATGTTATATCTCTTTCCAAAGAAAACAAAGTTTTTAAAGCTAATATATTCCAAATATCTCCTTTCTGAAGTGCTAGTATATAATCTATTTTAAAATTTTACTTTTGAATCTCTTAATTAAAAATTTTTATCAATATATTACTGTTCTTATTATTCTGCCACAGCCTTCTTTCTGACCAGCATTAAAATTCTGTAATATAAAAAAGGAGATATCTAGAAAACAACAAAATACATGTTAATTCCAATAATTTTTTTGTATACATAACCAGTAACCAAAAAAACCAAACTTGTTGCCATCGAGTCAATTCCGACTCATAGCAACCCTAAAGGACAGAGTAGAACCGCACCATAGAGTTTCCAAGGAGCAGCTGGTGGACTCAAACTGCCAACCTTTTGGTTAGCAGCCGAGCTCTTAACCACTGCACCGCCAGGGCTCCACATAACCAGTAGGAACTTAAAATAAAGAAGCCACCTTGGAATACACTTTGGTAGTTCCTCAAAAAGTTAAATATGGCGTTACCACATGACCCTGCACTTTCACTCCTAGGTATAGTCCCAAGAGAAATTAAAACATATGTCCATACAAAAGCTTGTACACAAACATTCACAGCAACATTATTCATAATGGCCAAAAATTAGAAACCCCCAAATATCCATCAACTGGTGAATGGATAAACAAAATGTGGTATATCCATGCAATGGAATATTACTCAGCCATAAAAAGGAATGCAGTACTGACATATGCTACAACATGGATGAACCTTGGAAACATTATGCTAAATGAAAGAAGCCAAGTCACAAAAGACAACATGTTTTATGATTCCATTTATATGCAATGTTCAGAATAGGCAAATTTATAGGTTGCTTAGGGCTGAGGAGGGATTAGGAAGGAAATGGAGATTGATTGTTAATGGCTACAGGGTTTCTTTCAGAGGAATGAAGATATTCTAAAATTATAGTGATGGTTTCACAATCCTGTGACTATACTAAAACAAACTTTGAATACTTTAAATGGATGTATTGTATGGTTCTGTGAATTATATCTTAACGCAGTTGAAAAAAGAAAATTGGAGGAAAGGAATTGAAAAGAGTGTTTTAAACAAATAGAAGGATTAGTCTTAGTATAGATAGTGCATCCTTAGCAAGACAGAAGACAGAATATAAAAATAGGTGCAGGAGGGTGGGCAGATGTGGTTGTGGTAGATTGTGGAAGGTCTCTTGACTTGCTTCTGCTTTCTCTGTGAAATAGGAAGCAAGGTCATCAGCTGGGAGTGAGGATGAGGGAAGAAGTGTTGAAAGTTTAATAAGAGGGTATAAAATAGTTGCTTAGAACGGTGGGTGAGTAAATGAATTGTGGAGATGTGATATGATTACTGAGCATTAGCTCTAAGGTTAGTGATAGTAATGATATTGTTTAATAATTTCCACATTCCGTTTGATGGCCTTTCTTTGGAATGGGCACAGATATGGATCTCTTCCATTTAGTTCGCCAGATAGCTGTCTTCCAGATGTCTTGACATAGACGAGTAAGCACGTCCAGCATTTTTTTGAAACATCTCAGTTAATATTCCTTCAATTCCTGGTGCCTTGTTTTTTGCGAATGCCTTCAGGGTGACCTGAACTCTTCTTCCTCCAGTATCAGCAGTTTTTGATTATATGCCACATCCTAAAATGGGTGAATGTCAACCAGTTCTTTTTGGTCCAGTGATACTGTGTATTCCTTCTATCTTCTTTTGAGGCTTTCTGTATCATTCAGTTTTTTGCCCATGGAATCCTTCAGTATTGCAACTCGAGACTTGAATTTTCTCTTCAATTCTTCCAGCTTGAGAAATGCCAATTGTATTTTTCCCTTTTGGTTTTCTAACTCCAGATTTTTCACATTTCATCATAATACTTTACCTTGTCTTCTTGAGCCACCCCTTGAAGTCTTCTGTTTGGCTCTTTTACTTGATCATTTCCCCCATTTGTTTAGCCGTGATGCTCTCAAGAGCAAGTTTCAGTCTCTTGTGACACTCATTTTGGTCCTTTCCTTCTTTCCTGTCTTTTTAATGAGCTTTCACTTTCTTTATGTAAAATGTCCTTGATGTCTTCCTACAACTCTTCTGGTCTTCAGTCATTAGTGTTCAGTGCCATCAAATCTATTCTTGAGATGGTCTCTAAATTCAGGTGAGATGTATTCAAGGTCATATTTTGACTCTCATGGACTTACTTTGATTTTCTTTAGCCTCAGCTTGAACTGGCACATGAGCAGTTGATAGTCTGTTCTGCAGTAGGTCCCTGGCTTTGTCTGGACTGATGATACTGAGCTTCTCCATTGTCTCTTTCCACAGATGTAGTCAATTTGATTTCTGTGTAATCCATCCTGTAAGGTCCGTGTAGAGATTCGTCGATTATGTTATTGAAAAAAGTATTTCCGAGGAATAAGTCTTGCAGAATTTTATCATGGGATCCCCAACATTGTTTCTGTCACCAAGGCCATATTTTCCAACTGCTGATCCTTCTTCATTTGCAGCTTTTGCATTCCAATCACCAGTAATTATCAATGCATCTTGATTATACTTTAGATCAATTTCAGACTATAGCAGGTTGTAAAAATCTTCAGTTTCTTCACCTTTGGCATTCGTGGTTGGTACTTAAATTGGAATAATAGTCTTTAACTGGTCTTTCTTCTAGGCGTAGGCATATTAACTTATCACTGACCATGTTGTACTTCAAGATAGATCTCAAAATGTTCTTTTTAAAAATAAATACAACACCGTTCCTTTTTTATTTCTTCCCAGCATAGTAGACAATATGATCATCAGATTCAAAATGACCAATACCAGTCCATTTCAGCTTACTAACGCCCAGGATATCGATCTTCAAGTGTTCCATTTCATAAGTGGGGTAATAATATATTAAAGGCAATTGTTAAGATGGTCTGGTTGAGATGATAGGAAATAGTAACGTAGTCTGGATATGCTGTTGATTCAACAGCTATTTGAGTGCCTAGTATATATAGTTTAAGTAATGAGGACATACATTTCTGAGCCCAGTTTCCTGACCAGCTCTTCCATATCCAGCCATTCTCTGCTGTACTTTCTGTAGTCTCAGATCATGACCGTCATGACCTAAACCTACACTGTCCAGTATGGTAGCCACTAGCCAATGTGGCTTTTGAAGACTTGAAAGGTGGCCAGTATGAATTGAGATGTGCTCTAAGTGTAAAATACACACCAGATTTAAAAGACTTAGTGCCAAAAAATGAATATAAAATATCATTAATAATTTTTATATTGATTACATGTTGAAAGGATAATATTTTTAACATATTGGATTAAGTAAAATATATTATTAAAATTCATTTCACCTGTTTCTTTTTACTTCTTTTAATGTGGCTACCAGAACATTTAAAACAACACATATGGCTCACATTATATTTTCTGTTGGACGGTATTGACCTAAATCATGCTGCCACTCACCCCATTCTAGCACTGCTCTCTGTGCTGTCACAGGTTGATGTCATTTACCTATCCTCCTCTCTGCTCATTATTGCCACCACTCTGTTTGCCTTTGTCTGCATACCTTCTGAAACAAAATGAACCCTTCTGTTAGTTCTGTAAGTGAAGAATACAGTTGTGGCAGAGAACCCAGAGCAGAGCCAGATGTCCTAAGTGCAGAGGTACTAATAGTAGAAAAGAGTGAAATTGATGCAGAAATGAAAGCATCACAAAATTGTAATGCTGAAGAGACCTACCTCTTTATTTTGACATCAGGAAACCAAAGCTCAGAGAGGGTAAATGACTTGCTGTCTCCATCTAGGCATCTTCTTATGTGATTTAGAGAATGCTGAGAAGTCTCATGTAATCAAAAGTATATCCCTCCTCCCCTCCCCTCCAAATATGTTTTTGATACAGTCCTTGAAATTCCCACTAATTGTCTTTTTTTTAAATCCAGCAAATATTTACCGAGCATACACTGTGGCAAGTTACTTGGAGGCCTCAACAGTACAGTCATTGTGACAGTATAAGTGTGCTTTACTATGAAAATGTTAACATGGTATCTTTCTTGGAAAGTGTAATATAAGAAATAATTAGCACATTTTGCTACATTGAATTTATCTGTTAGCTAGCAAAGCCCTGAGGAAGCTGAACATAGGATAATATTCTTGATAAGGAAAAAAGAAAAACTGATGGAAAAATATCTACGTCTTGAGTTGGTAAAGAGATTCGGGATTCATGGGTGAGAGGATTTAGCTACTAGGGGCAGCATAAAAGTAATATCCTCATGGGAGGTGGGGTAAAGTGAACAAGAGTGATATGAGGAAAGAGATTCTGAAGACTCTGCCTCAAACAAAAAATAAACTTCATTCAGGGCCGATCCTGCCAGACCAATTTGTTTAATTTTCTAAGCTATTTGAATTTTCTCCTCATAAGATTAGTCCAGTTCTCTGTAGGAATCAGAGATGCTTTTGAGTTAATAAGCAAACACCAGTAGAAGGATTATATGAGAAGGTGTTAATTGCTTTACTAACACCTAGCTGAGGTGCCCCAATGGAATGTGAATTTTGATTGGTTAGAGGAAAAGGAATAAATAAGTTTTGATTTGGAAATTTCTGTTGCTAGACTACTTGGAGCAGATCAAACATGGGCATGGCTTGGTGGAGGGCTTTGGGCACAGAGGAAGGAACATGACAAGCTAAGATAGCTAGTAATTGCTAGGAGGTCTACGAAAATAAGGTGGAGAAGACGGTGTTGGCGGAAGGCAGGAAATGGGTAGGAATACACCATGAAAGAAGCACAACACAAACCAGGATGTATACTATGACTTCAGCCATCCAAAATAGTTTGTATGATGATAACTAGCATTATAGTCAGGAGAACAGTTGTTGGGATGGTGGCGTTGTCTGACTTGAAAAAAAGTTTATCTTTTTCATGTAGATGTACTGTGAAGAGGGGGTCAGTGATGAAACGTTTAACTTTTGCCCAGAGTTGACAGCGTCTCCTCTTTTCCGAATGTCATCTGGGATATGCTGGCTAACTACTGCAAACTCTCTCTTGCGTTTGTCAGCCTGTGTAACTGTCAGGGTTTTGTGTCTTGATTTCGTTTGTCTATAATGTGCCCTTAGCAGCAAGGTCTTATGGATTCTTTCTTTGAAATTCTTTTCCTTTATCAATCCACTGACATTTCACAGCCTGATTTCCTGCCACCTCTGTCATTTCCTCTTCATTCCGAACTGGTCTGCATACCAGTGTAATGTCCCAGAGTGCGTATTTCATCTTCTACTCCTCTAATTAAAAACGTAAAGTGTGTTCCCAACTTTCACAAACAGCCTGAACTTACCAATGTATTATTTAGGATTTTTCTATAGTCTGATCAAGTTTACTTGTCCAGCCATACTTCCTACATTCTGATACATAAATCCTAAGTATAAATCTTATTATAAGCTCTCCATATAACATGATTTTTTCTTACATGTGCTTTCTGTAACACTCTTCCCCTTTAAAGAATGCTTTTGCCTCCCACTGCCTTTCCACGTTCTGCCCATCTTTAGAATCCGGTTTAGATACTTTTCCCCTTTCGAAGACTATTTTTAAGCTCTACAGGCTTATCATTATCTCTTTCCAAAAGGGCTCAGCTGCTAACCAAGAGGTCGGCAGTTCAAATCCACTAGCAGCTCCTTGGAAACCCTATGGGGCAGTTCTGCTCTGTCCTATAGGGTTGCTATGAGTCGGAATCGACTGGACAGCAATGGGTTTTTTTTTGTTTGATTTCTTTTTTTTATATTGTACTTTAGATGAAGGTTTACAGAACAAATAGTTTCTCCTTAAACAGTTAGTACGTGTATTGTTTTATGACAATGGTTAACAACCCCACGACATGCCAACACTGTCCCTTCTCAACCTTGGGTTCCCTATCACCAGCTTTCCTGTCCTATTCTGCCTTCTAGTCCTTGTCCCTGGGCAGTTGTGCCCCATTAGTCTCGTTTTGTTTTATGGGGCTGAATGGTGAACCTTGGGAGTGACTTCATTACTGAGCTAAAAGGGTGTCCAAGGGCCATACTCTTGGGGTTTCTCCAGTCTCTGTCAGGCCAGTAAATCTGGTCTTTTTTTTGTGAGTTAGAATTTTGATCTATATTTTTCGCCAGCTCTGTCCGGGACCCTCTGTTGTGATCCTGGTTGGAGCAGTCAGTGGTGGTAGCTGGGCACCATCTAGTTGTACTGGACTCAGTCTGGTGGAGGCCATGGTAGTTGTGGTCCGTTAATCCTTTGGACTAATCTTTTCCCTGTATCTTGTTTTCTGCATTCTCCCTTGCTCCCAAAGGGGTGAGACTAGTGGAGTATCTTAGATGGCTGCTCACAGGCTTTTAAGACCCCAGACACTACTCACCAAGGTAGAATGTAGAATATTTTCTTTATAAACTGTGTTATGCCAATTGAGCTAGATGTTCCCTGAGACCATGGTCCCCATAACCCAATGGGTTTTTTTTTTTTTAAGGTATTTATTATATTTTACACTACCTTATACTTTATCTTACTGTTTCCTGTATGTTCTTTGCTGAACCAAATTATTAGGTTTTTTTTAGAGTAACATTCATGTCCTAATATTTATTTTAAACCACTGCTAAACATATATCTTCAATAAATACTCTATGATTGAGATAGTATTACAGACCAATTACAGATACAAAGGTTAGATAAGCTAGACAAAACACTGCTCTTAAGAGTTGCTTTATTTAGATATCTAAAACTGAAAGATGCTTCCTTAGAACCCAAACTCAGCCTTTTAAAAATATCTGATTCTTTTATTACAAACTTTTCTAAAAATATATCTGATTCTACCATACGTACTTACATTGGTTATCGTTGCTATATAAAAAATTACTCCAGAACTTCGTGGCTTAAAACAGCAAAGATCATTTCACAGTTTCTGTTGGTCAGGAACCTGGGTGCAGCTTAGCTGTGTGGCTCTGCCTTAAGATCTATGATGAGGCTGTAGTTAAACGGTGTCTGCTGGGGCTGCAGTCTCATCAGAAGGCACAACTGGGGAAGGACCTGCTTCTGAGCTCAATTCCATGGTTGTTGGCAGGATTCAGTTCCTCATGGGTTGTTGGACTGAGGGCCTCAGTTCCTTGCTGGTTGTTGGCTGGAGGCCTCCTTCTATATCTTGCCATGCCGACCTATCCATAAGGCAACTCATAACATGGCATCTGATTTCCCTCAAAATGAACATGTGAGGGAGAACCATGATGGAAGCCACAGTCTTTTTGTAACCTAATTTCAGAAGCAACATCTCATTACTTCTGTCATATTCTGTTTATTAGAAGTGAGTCAGTAAGTCTAGTCCACACTCAAACGGATGGAGGGGATTACATAAAGGCTTGAATATCAGGAGGTGGGATCATTGAGGTCCATCATAGAGGCTGCCTACCTTAGCTGTGCTATTCTACTCTTACCCATAGACTTTTCCTGGCCTCATGAAAAGGAGGACTTGCTTTTCTGAGTCTTTCCCAATAGTCATTTTACTTGCAGCACCTAAGCTTTAATCTATGGTAGCATATCCAGGATTGTTTAATTTTGTAATGTTCTGCTTCCTCATTCGACTAAAGGTATAGTCAAGAAATAATGTATTGTCTTTTTTACTAGGATAGATACAGAACTTAAATGAAATAAAAGACACAAGTATAGCAATTATGCTCTTGATTATTTGAATAAATAATGTATAGCATTTACCAAAATAAGGCATGGTTTTTCAGTCACGTACTGTATCAAAACTCAACATATAAAATATATAATGTACCACGTATAGTAATGACTCAAAAATTTTTGTTAAATTGACTTGCTTATATATTCCCATGAATCAATTAATTTAATGCTTTTGGAGTTCTTGGACCTACGGAGAATTAAATCACTGCTAATTACACTTCGCTATCTTAAAGTTCTGCTTAAAAGCACTAGTAATAATGTATTGCTATTCATAGGAATTATATTTGTTATTAGAATTTGAAAGCTTAAGAGAATACTTGACAGTCTTTAGACTTTTTTTTTTAATTAGGATATAAAGGTTATATTAAGAGCAATTTCATCAACTTATTAAGCATGTAGGAAGTTGGGTGAGAAGTTGGATCCTGACCTCACTGTTTATACCAAATAATTCCAGATAGATTCAAGATTTAAACATTAAAATAAAAGACAAACATAAAATTCCATGAAAAAAATTTATGTGAATATTTGCATATTCTTAAGAGGTGAAGATCTTTCTAAACATGACGTCCAATCCAGAAGCTCTAATGGAACAATTTAACTATATTAAAATGAAATATTTCGGTACAACAAAAAATAAGCAAAAAAACACCACCATAAAGTCAGAATCCAATATGGGGAAAATATTTACCACACATATAGCATGAAATGTGCTAATTCCTCAAGAGCTTTTATAGTTCAGTAAGAAAAGATAAGAGATATATGGGCAGGCAATTCAAAGAAAAAGTATATACAGTTAATAAAAAAGGCAATACATATATTAAAAAGGTGCTGCATATATTTAAAAGATACCACATATACTACAAAGGTCATATATATATTAAAAAGGTGATAACTATATAAAAATACATATATAAAAAAAGATACCAATTTTTTAAATGCAAAAAACTTTTGTTTACTTATCAGAATGGCAAACATTTAGAAAATAGTAACACTCATTGAGTAGAGATAATGGGGAAATAGTTATACTGTTGATACCAATGAAATTTGGTATAACCTTTTTGGGAGAGGAGTTAAGCAATATGTATTAAAATATAAAATATTCATACCTCAAGCTAGACGTTCTAGGAACTTAACCTATAAAAACACTTCACAAATCTGCAAAGATACGAGTATAAGGACATGAGTTAACAACATTGTTTATGTTAGTAAGATACTGATGGAATACTGGCTAAATAATTTGGAATGTGTCTATAATACATGGAATACTATAATAGCCATTAAAAAGAATGAGAGAGCTATATATACAGTAACAAGGAAAGGAAAGATGCTCAAGTACATTATAAAGTGGAAGAAAAAGAAAGTTGGAAAAGCATTATAGTATAAAGAAAATATGTGAGACTATAGCATACAGTTAAGTCAGTTTTCTCTGGGTAGAATTGGGCAGTCATCTTTATATGTCTTCTATTGCTAATGTTCAAATATTTATAATTAAAAATCTATTACTTTTGTAATCAGTAAAATAATTTTTAAAAAAGAAAATTTCACATTTTCTCTTTACAGGTGATTACATGCTTGATGCAAAGCCAAAAGAAATTTCAGAAATTCAACGTTTAAACTATGAGCAGGTAATAAACACAATTTCTGTTATATTAATTTATGGATATATTCACTGATTTCTATCAGTGGTTAGTGGATACTTTGTAAAGGATCAGATAGTAAATATTTTAGCTTTGTGGGCAATATATGATCTCTGTTGCATATTCTTTGTTTTCTTTTTTATAACCGTTTAAAAATGTAAAACCATTCTTAGCTCACAGGCTGGATTTGGCCCCCAAGCCATACTTTGTCAATTCCTGGTCTATATGAACACATATGCTATATAGAATGATACATCGATATCCTTCTACAGATTTATGTAGAATAATAACCTGGTGTTTTTCTTGAATTTGTCATTAACTCATCTTTCCTATTTATATTTTGTAATTTATTTATATTTTATAATTGATTTTATATTTATATTTTATTTTTATTTTATAATTAAATTATATTTAGGAGAAAGTTGAACAAATGATGTCTAGTACAGGTAGTCCTCACATTACAAATGAGTTCTGTTCCTAAGTTTGTCTTTAAGTCAAATTTATATGTAAGTTGGAACAGGTTTGTACGATTCATATCTAATGTCAGTCAAATGTTTGTCTTAGTATATAGTGTGCCTTTCTGTGCATAAAAAAAATTGAAGAAACACTTCCAGATACACTAAAACATCTCTAACATAATAGGACAACAACAACAATAATGTTTTGATGCACGTTGCAAAGTAGCAGCCATTTGTCATTACAAACCATTGTATGGACCTCAGATTGTTAATAGGCTTTGTGGGGGTTGGTTCACAACTGTGGGTTGTACATAGGTCTGACGTTCGTAACCCAGGGACTTCCTGTAGATGTTGTTAGAACAAATTCTGTTGTTTCCTGTTTTCAGTATGTCCTCATTCTTTGGCATGTTCTTTAGAGAACCTGTTCTTCAATACAGGAGGGGTCACTAGGCTCACAATTATTCGAGCTGGAAGAAAGGGCAGAACTTAATTTTATTTTCCTTGGCAATAGAAGGCAAGAAGTAATCAGCTTCTTATAACGGAAAGAAGTAGCATCCAGGGAAGAAACAGACATCACTGGACCCTTCATATTTACTTTCAAAGCAACCTTTTGTACGTACAGTACGTTCAACAGTATCAAATTGGCAAAGGGGAAGCAAAGCCCGTATCAGTATTGCAAAATTTCTTTGAATTTGAATGTTCAAATAATCCAGTCCTAATAGAATTGAAAAGCTACCATATTATATTGCTTCATTTGTATAAGTAGAAAATCTATAGCTAAAGCCAAGTTGGTAGGCTGAATTATTCAAATTTTATTGGGTGAATTTGTAGCTGAGAACATGATTTTCAAACATTTTTAGCAATAGAAACCTCTTTTCAAATGAAATCTTATGTGAAACTCCGATTTATAAACCAGCAAATGATATTTTATTAGACTGACAAGATTCAATTTATATCATTTATTTATCAAATTTATATAATTTCTTATTGAAATCAATGAAACTATTTTGATTAATACAAAACCTTGAATTTGAGGACGGATCATGGAAGATAGTTGCAGTCTCCTATCAGCCTCACAATTCACTTATGAGAGCAGATATGTTCATGCCTAAATCTTAGAAAGGCCAATGTGAAGCTGCAGTTTTCCTGATCCAAACCGCTTTACCAGAGTTACATGTAAACAAAGATTCGATTTTTCCCAGTTTATCTAGTGATAGATGCCCTGACCACCCAAGAAAATAGGATGCATGTGTGTGTTTATGACAAGTTTTAAATGACTGCAGGTATATTTTTAAAATATATTTAAATTTAAAACATTTCACCACATTAGAAGTACTTTTCAGAAGAATTCTAAGAAACAGTTTAACTTCTGGCTTAAAGGAACTAGTAGCAATACTTTTTTTGATGTAAGCAGCCATCCCTCGGACTTATATTTTATACTATTGAGTATCATAATTTGGATTTAGGAACAAGATGGCAAAATTTTTACCCTTTTTTAACTCTGTTTATAAGTTTTTTTTTTTTTTTTACCAGCTGTATTAATCTTTACGGAGAATAGAAAGTGGTGTCAGTATAGTTATTTTAATACTGTACAATCTATAACAAATGTAGTAAATATGTAAAGGTGTAAGCATGAGCCCAGGAAAGGAAGTGCCACTAAATGAAATGATGTGATTGGCAACCGAGAATTTAACAGAAATAGAATAAAAACTAGGTGGTAGGAGAGCCATGATCCTCAGATTGTGACCATTTTTCAGATTCATCATTCCTGCGGCATTAGGAAAAATTCTAAAACATTTATGGGGAAAATGCAAGCTGTTTCTTTTGAAGGGTACTATCTTGTGGGAAGGCTGAGAAAATACACTGTTTTAGGGGAAGATGGGTATTTGGAATAGAGACAGCTGACAAAGGTCAAAGACTATGTAACAATGTTATCCTATTATAAATCTATCATTTGTGAATTTGTAACATTTGAATAATTTGTGTTCAGTCTGTACTGTCTCTAAGAATGAAATTTTATAAGTTTTTTGGTAAAGTAGAACTTTGTTTATATGACCTAAATTTATCTTTTTTTAATTTCAAAGCGAGTCCCTGGTTTTAATGTGAGGATTTATTTCTTGTTTAACCTTTCTACTACATGCCCCTCCAACAGACTCTAAGCTCTTATTTTCTATCTTTAGTATCTAGTGTCTGGTCAACAGTAGGGATTCAGTAAAAATTTATTAAATTTTATGTATTGATTTTTATTTGTTCCATCAAATATATGACTATAAATATGTATTTAATGTGTTAAAACATCTAGAAAAACGTATTTTAAAACAGTCGTCATCACAGACTTACGTGACCACGTCTGTTGAGAGAACTGAGAGAACTGATGTGGACAGAGTCACTCCCTACTTGGCAACAAGTTTTGTGATTCAGCCTCTGACTGTCTCTCAGTACTTCTCCTTCCGTTTTCCGCTTCACTTATTCTACTCTAGCCACGCCGGACTCCTTGCTGTTCATGAACACGCTAATAAATTCATTTCTGCATCAGAGTTTTTGTCCTCGTATCCACTTTGTCTGCATTGCTCTTTCCCTGGAGCTTCCCAAGGCTCTGCGTTTCGCTTTGGTCTGTATTTAAGTGTCATTTTCAAAGAGGCCTTCTTCTTTGACTTTAGACTTCAGGTCTAAAATCAGTCCCTCATCCCTGTCACTTTGTATGTCCTCATCTGGCTCGGTTTTTCTTACCAATACTTCACGTTTTAGATTGACGTATTTGCCTCTCCCAGTAGAGTGTAGGTTCTGTGAGAGGAGTGGCTGTTTTGCTCACTATTCTATGTTTAGAGCTCAGGTTAGTGCCAGGCACATAGTAGGCATAGTAGGTGCTTAATAAAAATTTGTTGAAATATGAATAAGTTGGATAAAATGAAAAACTAGAAGTCAAAGTGCTTGCACTTAAATATCTTCTTTGTTCTTGTTTCGGTTTTTCTGATCTATCTTCTTCCCCTTTCTGTTTTCAGAATATGAGTGACGCTATGGCAGTTCTGCACAAACTGCAGACGGGTCTGGATGTAAACGTGAAATTTACTGGCGTTCGAGTGTTTGAGTATACACCGGAATGCATAGTATTTGATCTTCTTGATATTCCTTTGTATCATGGGTGGTTAGTGGACCCTCAGGTAAGTAGAAGAATTTTAATTGTATAACCACAGATGCAGTTATAATTTATTAATTTGGCAAATTAATCTAGACTTCTGTTTTCTGATATGTATTTCTGTCCTTTGAAAAGAGATTTTATATCACTGCAACATTTACAAAAACAGCCACCCTAAATTCCCATCACTTGAACTATACATTTCCATATGTACAATGACCAAGTGATAGTACCAGGACTCTTGGTATTTACTAGTCTAGCATTCCAGATTTTGCCTCTTGGTAAGTACATCAATGTACTGGCAAGATGTAGATGACACATCCAGGGGTAACTGAAGAAAAGTGTCAGGAAGAGACAATTTACAAAGGTGTGGGCAAAGTTAAGGTAAACAAGCAGGGATAGTGAAGTATCCTAGAGTTAGCGACAGGGTTTTTATTCTTTGGTATATCTTTAGAACTCAGGGTAGTGTCTGGCACATAGTAGGTACTTAACAAAAATTTGTTGAAGAAATGAATAAATTGGATAAAATGGAAAACTAGAAATAAATATGCCTGCACTTTTTTGTTACCTCTCCTAACCCTGAAGGAGCAAGGGGAGGAAGTAGATCCCAGCAAGACCAATTCCTAAAGAACAGGGCTGCTTGACAGGAGTGTAGCTGTTAGTATAGAAATGTAGTTACTATCAAACTGTGGCCCAGCAGGGAAGGAATGGAGGTAAATAAATACTCTGACTTCTTTCTTCCCAGTCTCTGCTGTCCTCTCTGTAGCTTCCATTGGCAAACCCAACTAAAAATTAGAAGACAAGGATGCTAGTTGCTGCAGTCCATAGAGATCAGTCTCCTGGAGCATACAGTTGGTTAGAGAAGGGTGGAGAGTGGAGCTGGAAGAGCCAAGGAAGAAACAATTCCTTTATCATACACTAAGTTCTTATGTAGGCTAGAATCTTCTCTGTTCCATTGGTCTGTCTTTTGTCTACTCCTATACTGTTTAAATATTATTATAGGTTCTTTACATGTTTTTAATTAAACTTTATTTTGAGATAATTGTACATTCACATGTACTGGTAAGAATACAGAGTGATCCCTTATATCTTTTACCAGTTACCCAATGGTAATATTCTACAAACTATGGAAAAGTGTCACAACCAGAATACTGAAGTTGACTCAGTCAAGATTCAAGCATTTCCTTCACCACAAGGCTCCTCATGTTGCCCTTTTATAGCTACACCCACTTCCCTCCTGCCCCTACCCCCTTCTTAATCCCTGGCAACCGCTAGTTTGCTCTCCATTTCTATAATTTTGTCATTTCAAGAACATTACGTAAATGAAATCATACAGGATGTATCCTTCCGTATTGTTTTTTTTTTTCACCCATCATAATCTTCTGGGGATTCATCAGGTTGTTGGGTGTATAAGTAGTTTGTTCCTTTTTATTGCTGAGTAGGATTTCATGATACGGGTATACCGTGGTTTAACCATTTGCCCACTGAAGGACATCTGGGTTCTTTCCAGATTTTTGCTATTACAAATAAAGCTGCTATAAATATTTGTATACATATTTTTCTATGACCATAAGTTTACATTTCTTTGAGATAAACGCCCAGGAGAAGAGCTGCTGGGTTACATAGTAGTTGCACGTGTAGTTTTTAAGAACCTGCCAAACTATTTTCTAGAGTGCCTGTACCAAAAGTTTATATTCCCTCCACCAGTGTGAGTGGTCCAGTTTCTCTGTATCCTTGCCAGCATTTAGTGCTGTCACTATATTTTATTTTAGTCATTCTGATACTTGTGTAGTGATCTCATTGTGGTTTTAATTGTGCACTTATCTAATGGCTAATGATGTTGAACATCTTCTCATGTACTTATTTGTCACCTGTATATCCTCTTCAGTGAAATCTCTCATGTCTTTTGCCCATTTTCTAATAAGATTTCTTTTACTATTGAGTTACATGTATATATATAATTTATTTAATTTTTGTTATTATTGTTAAGAATGTACACAGCAGAACATACACCAATTCAACAATTTCTACAAGTACAATTCAGTGACATTGATTACATTCTTAAAGTTCTGCATCCATTCTCACCCTCTTTTTCCTAATTGTTCCTCTCCCATTAACATAAGCTCACTGCCCCCTAAGTTCCTTATCTAATCTTTCAAATTGCTATTGTCAGTCTGATCCCATGTAGCTACATCTTAGAAGAGCACAAGCTGAGGGCAGATATTCTTTACTAGTTAAGCTAAACTATTGTTTGGTTTTAAGAAGACTTCAGAGGATATTTTGGTTTAAGGTTTAAAGATTATCTCAGGGCAGCAGTTTTAGGGGTTCATCCAGCCTCCATGGCTCCAGAAAATCTGAATTCCATGAGAATTTGAAATTCTGTTCTACATTTCTCCTCTGTAGATCAGGATTCTTCTAAGGAATCTTTGATCAAAATGTTCAGTAATGGTAGCTGGGCACCATCCAGTTCTTCTAGTCTCATGGCAAAAGAGCCATGTTGTTCATGGAGGCAATTAGCCACATATTCCATTTCCTCCTCCTATTCCTGACTCTCCTTTTTCCTCTGTTGCTCCAGGCGAATAGAAACCAGTTGTTGTACCTTGGATTGCCGCTTGAAAGCTTTTATGATCCCAGGCATTATGCAACAAATTAGGAGGTAGAACAGAAGCACTAAACATGATATTAGGCCAGTTAACTAGGATGTTCCATGAAATCATGACCCTAAACCTCCAAATCAGGGAACCAAATCCCATGAGGTGTTTGGTTGTACATAAGCAGCCCCAGCAGTTACTCTGTTTTTTGTAAATATACCACACAACTTTTGCCAGTTCAACTTTTTACAGGTGTACAACTCATTGGCAGCAATTACATTAATAAGCTGTGCATCCCTACCCTTAATCAATGTGATTTTTCCATCACTGTGAACTGAAATTCAGTACTCCATAAGGAATACTCCCCCATTTTTCCTCCCTCCAGCCCTTGGTAACCACTTATAAACTTTGGTCTGTATACGTTTGTCTGTTCTTGTCTTTTTATATAAGTGAAGTCAAAGAATATTTGTCCTTTTGTGACTGACTTATTTCACTCAGCATAATGTCTTCAAGCTCCATCCATATTGTAGCATGTATCAAAACTTCATTTCTCCTACTAGCTGAGTAGTATTCCATTGTACGTATGTATCACATTTTGTTTGTCTGTTCATCCATTGATGAGCATTTAGGTTGTTTCCACTTTTTGGTTATTGTGAATACTGCTGCAGTGAACACTGGTGTACAAGTACTGGTTGAGTCTCTGCTTGCAAGTCTTTTGGGTACATATACTTATGAGTGGAATTGGTGGGTACTATTGAGTTTTGAGGCAGCCCTGGTGGCACAGTCGTTAAGAGCTCAGCTTCTAACCAAAAGGTCGGCAGTTTGAATCCACCAGCTGCTCCTTGGAAACCCTATGGGGCAGTTCTACTCTGTTCTATAGGGTCACTATGAGTTGGAATAAACTTGATGGCAATGGGTATTGAGTCTTGAGAGTTCTCTGTATGTTCAAGATACTAATCCTTTGTTTACTGAAGATCATTCAGAAGCAGTTGCAGCAAGTACATTGACAGGGAACTGCCAGCAGTTCAAGCCGAATTCAGAAGAGGACATGGAACAAGGGATATCATTGCTGATGTCAGATGGGTCTTGGCTGAAAGCAGAGAATACCGAAAGCATGTTTACCTGTGTTTTATTTACTATGCAAAAGCATTTGACTGTGTGGATCATAACAGATTATGGATAACATTGCAAAGAATGGGAATTCTGGAACACTTAACTGTGCTCATGCAGAACCTGTAGATAGACCAACAGAACAGAACAAGGGGATACTGTGTGGTTTAAAGTCAGGAAAGGTGTGCATCAGGGTTGTATCCTTTCACCATGTTTATTCAGAATGTATGCTGAGCAAATAATCCGAGAAGCTGGACTATATGAAGAAGAATGGGGCATCAGGATTGGCAGAAGACTCATTAACAGCCTGGAATATGCAGATGACACAGCCTTGCTTGCTGAAAGTGACGAGGACTTGAAGCACTTACTGATGAAGATCAAAGACCACAGCCTTCAGTATGGATTGCACCTCAACATAAAGAAAACAAAAATCCTCACACTGGACCAATAAGCAACATTGTGATAAATGGAGAAAATATTGAAGTTGTCAAGGATTTCATTTTACTTGGATCCACAATCAACACCCATGGAAGCAGCAGTCAAAAAATCAGACGACATATTGGATTGGGGAAATCTGCTGCAAAAGACCTCTTTAAAGTGTTGAAAAGCAAGGATGTCACTTTGAGGACTAAGGTGCACCTGACCCAATCCATAGGATTTTTAATCACCTCACATGCATGCAAAAACTGGACAATAAATAAGAAAGACCAAAGAATAATTGACGCCTTTGAATTATGCTGTTGGCAAAGAATATTGAATATTCTATGGACTGCCAGAAGAATGAACAATTCTGTTTTGGAAAAAGTACAGCCAGAATGCTCATTAGAAGCAAGGATGGCGAGACTTCATCTCATACTTAGGACATGTTATCAGGAGGGACCAGTCCCTGGAGAAGGACATCATGCTTGGTAAAGTAGACGTTCAGTGATAAAGAGGAAGACCCTCAGCAAGATGGACTGACACAGTGGCTGCAACAGTGGGCTCAAGTATAGCAAAGATTCAGGATGGCGCAGGACCAGACGGTGTTTGTTCTGTTGTACATGGGGTCACTATGAGTTGGAACAGGCTCAACGGCACCTAACGACAACAACAGTCCTTTGTTGGATATGTGGTTTGCAAATAATGTCTCCCAATCTGTAACTTTCTTTTACATCCTCTTAACAGGGTCTTTTGCTGAGGAAAAGTTTTTAATTTTGATGAAGTCCAATTTATCAGTTTTTCCTTTTGTATACCTTGCTTTTGATGTTAAGTCTAAGAACTCTTCACCTAGCCCTAGATCCTGAAAATTCTCTCCTGTTTTTTGTAAATATTTTATAGTTTTGCA